TGTAGGCCTACCTGATGAAGTAAAAAGTCAAAAGTTGGATAAGGGTGAAATAGTTGTATTGCATAGCGAAGATGTCATGATCATGAAATGGCGCGATAAACGAGTTGTCTCTTTTATTTCAACCTTCCATTCCCATGAAATGGGAGTGAAAACTAGCAAGAGTGGTAGGCAAGAAATTAAGCCAGTTTTGGTACTTGACTATAATAAACAAATGGGAGGGGTTGACTTGAGGGATCAAATGCTACACAGTTATCAGCTTGAAAGAAAGAGGGGGCAGAAATGGTATATAAAAATTTTCAAAGGGCTGCTAAATGTTACTGTTTTGAATTCCTATATTATTTGGAAATGTACCAACCAAAAAAGTGAACATTTTGCCTTCAGATTAGAAATGGTAAAAATGTTAAATTTGAAACCTATGGATCCCAAGTGCAGAGAAATGTAAGTGGTAGACCATCGATCAAACCCAAACCAGCTCGGCAAACCGAAAGACATTTCCTTTACCTCATTCCACCTACTGCAAACAAAGTGAATGCTCAAAGAAGATGGTGTGTGTGTTCCAAGAGAGGAATTAGAAGGGACACTAGGTACTGGTGCCCAAAATGTGAAGCAGGACTATGTTTGGGAGAATGTTTAGAAGATTAACCACACAAAACTCAACTTTTAAGGTATGAAAAACTTGTATAACTGTCCTAGACTTTTAATGTATTATATATATTTTTTAAAGCCAGTAATTTGCTGTTTAATTTGGTGAAAGAATTGTTAAAATATAATTATAAATAACAAAGTTATAACTTATGCGTTTATAGTACGAATGTTCCGACCCTGCTGGAAAGCCAAACAAACCCACGCAGCAGGGTTGGTCTTTATTAAAAAAACTTGCACATTGAAGGGTTAAGTAAGTAGTCTAGGTTAGTAAGTTAACTAGGCCTAGATTTGGAGTGGACTTTATTTGGTAGGGCCTAATACTGAGCTTATAGGCCTAGGCCTACTACTTAAGTTATGTTATATTGAATTTTTTTTTCCTTAACCCTCCGAAGGTCACGCTTCTAAAAATAGACGCATAACACACTTTGTGTAGTGTCACGCGTCTATTTTTAGACGCACAAACATCGTTTACGCCGAAGGCTCTATGACTGACTGAATCGGATTGAACTGGATCGAGTTAGGTATCGTTCTTTCCGTAATATTCCAAGCTTTCTCCAGAGGTCTGTCTCAGCGCTGTATGTTCTCCGAGCCGATCGTAATTGTAGCAGACAGCTGACGTGCGTGTATTTGTAAACAGCTAGGTTACCCTCGGACCGATGACTGATGTGTTTTATTATGTTTATCATTGTTTTAGTGTTAAAAATCAAAAGTAGTGATATACGTGGTGCATTATAAGAAGATTTAAGTGGTTTTGAAGTGCTGGTTGATGATCCTGAAGAAGTAGGTAGTGATATTGATGTAAATTATCAGCCAGATTCCTAGATATGGTTAGGCTATGCATTCTTAGCTAAACGCTATGTACTGAAATCCGTTTTTCGCTCATAACTTATTTATTTGATAACTTACCTCGCTATATGATTATATATTTGTAATCCTCATTAAATTTAGAACAACGTGGCTATTTTCAAATATTTATAGGCCTATAATTTATACAATTTCATTGAGCGCGAACTTATTTTTTTTTTGAAAATTTTTGAAATTATATTTTTTTTACCTAAAAATTTTTTTTTTTAATGTTCCTTATGTTTTATATATAATATTGAAGCCCATGATTTTCCAAACAAAATGGTATATAGAACATTAGAATTAACATTGTTTTAAAAGCTTCTCAGATCCGTTTTAATAAAACCTTGCAAAGGGGCCAAAAATAGGTGGACATTAAGGCCTAAACTATGGACCTTTGGAGGGTTAAGAAAATAAGACTTTTAAGCCCTTTTGGCTGCACTTTACTTTAGGTCCTACACTCATTCGAATGAAAATATCGTTTGTTCGATTGTTTCATTCGATATATCGTTTGGTTAGTTAGGTTAGGTTAACCTTACCTAACTAACCAAACAATATAATGAAACAATCGATTAATCTATACCTATATCGATCAATATTTTAATTCGAATGAGTGTAGGACCTAAAGTAAAGTGCATCCGCACTTTTTACCTTTGGCACTATTGGGGGAAACGCCCAACTCTGAAACCAATCTGAAAATTGAGAAAAATGCTAGAATTCAGCGATTTTAGGAGCTTAAAAAAATATTTTATTAGGTCTACTTTAAGTTAATAGTATTTTTCTCGTCTGGCAATTTCAAACACTTTTTTCCTCTTTCACTTTTCAGCAAACGGGTAGACTTCCGTATCTGTTGGCACAAACAACCGAACAAAAATATCGATCGATATATCGATTATTCGACATATCGTTTGGTTAGTTAGGTAAGATTTACCTAACCTAACTAACCAAACAATATATCGAATGAAACAATCAAATAATCAAAATTTTAATTCGGTTGTTTGTGCCAACAGATACGGAAGTCTTCCCCGGCAAACACCAAAGTTTTAGGCCTAGGCCTAACTTATTTCACCCCAAAAAGCGCAATCGAAAATTACAAAAGCGTTAAAAACCACTAAATATTGGCACATTTGCCTGGTAATTGTGTCAATAACCTAATACTAATCTGACTTAACCTAACCTAACTTAGCTTAACCTAACCCTACCTCGTGTAGGCCTAACTATCGCTAAATCATCGTCACTTTCTGGATTTTCACCTTCGGGATTATCACCTTGTAACTGTGCAAAATCTATATCATATTCATCACTCTCTACATCGTCAACAAATTCCGACAGCAGCCAACGATCTATTTCACTACTGCGAGCCATACCATAACAGAGAACTTACACCACAATTCAATCACTATCCACTGAAATAAAAACTTTTCTGCTCAACAAAACCACTAGAAACTATAATAAAACATTAAAAGTAATATCTCAATCGGAATTCACTCAATAATAACAGAAAACATCTAATTACGTAAACAAACAAACAACGACGTAACCAAGACGACGCGAGTGAAATTTTTCTGCTCAAACGCCTGTAAACATTTGTCACCAAAGGCAACCAAAAGTTTCTAAAACCGGGTATTTTTGTAGTTTCATGTAGCCCATCTATCCCTCAACGTACTGCAATATCGATAGCGTCCAGATGTTTAAGCGGATTTCCCCGATAGGTAGCAGCATCGGACGGAACGTCTGAGAACGTACGCAATACGTCAAAACGCAGCAGCGGGCGAAAAAGTACTGACGTATCAAGTACGTCAAAACGTCTTGAAGGGCTAAGTAGCCTACTTACCTACCTAGGCTGCACTTTACTTTAGGTCCTACAGACAACCGAATGAAAATATCGATTGTTCGATTGTTTCATTCGATATATCGTTTGGTCCATATATCGATCGATATTTTCATTTGAATGAGTTTAGGACCTAAAGTAAAGTGCAGCCCCTACCTAGCCTATAAGTTAATTCAAATCATATAAAACATATGAAAGTATTTAGGCCAACCTAACGGGTACAGTTTCTTAAGTGGTAAGTGGGCTACACTAATGTCTATTGAAACTAACTTCGTATCAATTTGATTATTGCCTTAAATCTTCATTAGATTTTTTTCATTATCAGCAAGTTTGGTTAAATTAGTTATAGGTTAGGCTATGACAGTGTCATTTGATTTATAATTGATATAGGCCTACAGTAGAACCTCAACACAATAGTAAACATGGTGAATAAACAGTACTGTAAATTAAATACAGTATACAATAAAGAACTGCTGTACTGTATATAGAGTACAGCAATGAGGGGTTCGGATTAGTGGACGTTCGGATTATGGGGGTTCGGATTAAAGAAGTTCGACCTACTGTAGTTCAAAATCAAAAGCTTTATTTTCCAATAGACATTACAAATGCATGTGGAATGGTCAAAGAAGGTATTATGTTGGTAAACATTTGTCAAGGAAGAGTACAATAGATGTAGAGTACAAGGTCAAATCAAAAGATACAAAGAGAATATAAAATGCATGCAGATGAGGATAACTATAAGAGAAAAAAAGTACAATCATTACTCAATATGTAATGGTTTAGGAAGTTCTAAAAAATCGTTAAGTTTGTAGAATGGGTTCTTTACTAGCCACATATGAATTTTAGCTATAAAAACTTTGTAAGGAAGTGATAGCAATTTGTTAGGCATTTTATTTAGACATTTTAGGCCCAGAATTTTATGACTTTTCTTTGTTTTGCTCAGTCTAACATGGGGTATATCAAATTGATGCCTGTTTCTAGTTTGAAAATCATGAAAATCACTCCTTATGGCATGTCAGTCCATTTCCTTAAAACTAGTTAACATGATATTAAATATATATAAATTAATAACAGTTAAAATATTAAATTCAATAAAAATGGGGCGACAATGTTCCTCAGGATCAACCCTAGCCATTATGCGCAGGACCTTTTTTTGTTATATTAAGACATCGGAGACATGAGAACTATTACCCCAAAAAATTATACAGTAGGTACCATAGTTCATAGTTCAAATATTGATAAGGCCTAATCAATACAGTAGAACCTTGATAACAAGACTCTCAAGGGGATTATTAAATAAGACTTGTTATCAAGGTTGACTTCTTATCGAGGTTCCCAACGTGTGAGAAGGGCTAAAATATAATTCAAGGGGATTAGAAAATGACACTTGTTAAAAATGGTGACTTGTTATCGAGGGTCTTGTTATCAAGGTTCCACTGTAGGCCTATTTTCAATCAATATTACCTTAGGCTTAGCAAGTAAAGAAACTGTTTACTCACCTAACATATCAGAAACATACAGGCCTAGGCCTAGGCCTAACTTACAGCTAGGCCTAAACACCATCTCCGCCGTACTAAGTTAGGCTATAACTTTTGGTGACTTAGGCAGGTCAATTAACTGTGACTTAATTAGGTATGCCTAAGTAGCCTAGGCCTAATTAACCCTTATTTAATAGATTTACCTGTAACTAAATTGCTTGACTTCAATATGTTAACTGGAAACATCAGATACATTATTAAGTGTAGATGTGAGATTAATCCATGTCAAGCTTCGGCATGAGTTGAAATGACAAATAAAATAGGCTAGGTAACTTTGATTACTAGCCTACTACTGAACGTTATTTAACTTATTATGCCTAGTTCAAAACTTCAAAGTCTGAAGAGACGACTGACTTGATAGCGTACAATGATATTGGAGAAACCGTTAAGGTGCTATTATGATGAAATGTCCAAACTTTATCGTCCAAACTTGTTAGTTGCGAAATTCGAAGTCATATGAGATGATATAGAATCGTGATGGAATGAAAAAATGTAACTTGTAAACTTTGTAACTTGTGTAAAATAAAACAAATCCCGGTGACAGACAAATCTTTTAACAACTACCACACCACACCACCACCACAGCACAGACCACACCATATGATTATGTTTTCGTTTTGTTTGTTATAGCTTTTAGCAAGCATAAAGCAATAGCATTGACTGAGACTGACTAGCGACATAGATTAAACATACTCCCCTAAGGGAGTATGTTTAATCTATGCTAGCGACTAGCCTTAGCCTAGTGAGTCATGAGTGGCTAGGCTATTGAATATTGAATTTACTGAAGTTGAACTGGTTTTTTTTTAGTCAAGTCTTTGTTCGTTGAGTAAGTACAGCAATTTATTTATTTATTTGACGGTAACAACTAATAGCCTATGCTAATATGCTATAAAATTCTAACAAAACAATACGTATGAAAAATTTGATGGCTAACATCGGTATGGTGCGTTAACATCATGACATATTTTTACAATAAATAATAATAAATGTATGTATAGTGTTATAGTACATGCTTAACTACACAAAAGATAGATATTTGCTTAATGGCTACAATATGAAAATTTAACATAATGATGATTGCAATACAACAAGACAGACAAAATAATTGAGAATTGACTACAATGACATTAACACAGCCATAGTGATACATGCAATATAGTGTTGAACAAAACAAAATAGAAAAAACATTTGAGAAAGCAACTGACATTAACTAAATCACTGCAATCCACCAGTCCATTTAAAATCTTGTAAAGGAACAATAAATACACGATCCCTCGACGCTAGCTCGCCGTTTCATCGTTTTGGGAACCAGGGCCGTTACCCTGACACCCCGGGTCATTTGACCAACCCTGTTCGCCGTTCATCGTTTGGAAACCGCGGTCGCTACTCTGACACCCCGAGTCCCTTGACCGACCTTATTCGCCGTTTAGTCCTGCAGCTAGCTATACTTTAGTGTGCAAACTTGCGTATACTCAATATTCTTGCATAATGTTTTAGTTTGATGTCTAGGGAGTTTAAAAAACCTGGGTGTTTACCTCCTCCCCCCCACGTTTTCCGGCTATGACGTCATCAAAATGGCGGCCATTGATTTTTAAAAAGCGTATATTTCGCAAACTATTTGTCGGATCAGAATGAACTTTTTTTATTTGAAAGATAAGTTTAAATGCTATCTGTTTTACATTTACACATTTGTTGTATGTTTAGTAATTATTTCGTAATTTTGCAAAAACCTGTATTTTTAATATTTTTGTGTTATTTTTGTTAGTAACGTTTTATTGATACAGTATATCAAAAACCACCAATGGCGAAAGTTGTAGAACATTTAAAAAGCTTTACAAAAATACCAAATTCGATATGTTTTACTCAAAATATTACGTCAGGAAACTAGATAAATCTCATAAAAACACCTATTTTGGCGCAAAAACGCCTATTAGTCTGGCATCTAGGGCAGTGCACAAGTCTTATATAGACAGTTTTACAATTCAATGTTGATGTATGTGTCTGAATAAGTGTTTTCAACTCGGGTGTCACTTCTGCACCCACTGTAGTTTCCGGTTATGACGTCATCAAAATGGCGGAAAGGGCTATATTAAAAATAACTATATTTTACATACCATGTATCGGATCGGAATGAACTTTTTTTTGTTTGAAAGATAAGTTTACATGCTATCTTTCATACATTTACACTTTTTTGTATGTTTAGTGCATTTTTGGTACTTTCCTGTTAAAGGGAACATTCATTATTATCGATGATTTTTTCTCGATATATCGATATTAACAATTGAAACATATCAGCTGGAGCTGACAAATACGATAAATATTGTTCAGTACAGTATCAACAAACGATAATGAAATGAAACTGTTATAAAAAATTACCTAACATAACTAACCCAACTTGCTGTGTAACATTTAAAAATTCCGTGTTTAAGTTGCCTTTTCTGTTATCAAACCCTAACGGAATTTTTAAATGGTACAGCAAGTTTGGTTGGTTATGTTAGGTTAGCTTAGAACAGTTTCATTTCTTATAATAGACTATTTTAGCCTAAACAAGATCAGTTGTCAATTTGTTTGTAATGGATCGGAAAAAAATATAGATATATCGAGAACAATCATCGATAATAATGAATGTTCCCTATATCAGGAAAGTACCGCATTTTTCGTAATTTTGCAAAAACCTATATTTTTAAATATTTTTGTTGATTACGTTTTATTGATACAATATATCAGAAATAACTTAAAGGGAAGGTTGTAGCACGTTAAAAGGGCTTTACAAAAATACCGAATTCGATATGCTTTACGCAAAGGATCACGTCAAGAAACTAGAAAAATCGTACAAAACAACCTAATTTGGCGCAAAAACTCATATAAATCCGACACCGATGGCTGTGTACGAGTCATATATAGACAGTTTTACCATACAATGTTGATGTATTTGTCTATAGAAGTGTTTTTAACTCGGGTATCACGTCTGGACCCACTGCAGTTTCCGGTTATGATGTCTTTAAAATTGCTACATGTTACGATTTCACCAACTATTTTACTTAAAATAAGACCATTACCCCCTTTTATGCAAATAAAAGCACAACAAATCAATGTAATTAGTCCATAGGAAGTTTCCCACTATATAAATACCCCCGGTGCAGCAATCCTGTCGACTAAGCAAATTTCCATTTGCCTGGATTGATTTTTCAATTAATATATTAAATTAACATTGTTTAAGAGTGCCTAGGTTTGCTTCTCAAGGGAAATTAATAAAGTGGATTTTTTATTAAAATATTAATGGCTTAGTGTTGGATAAAGAAATCTGCCAAGTTTGATCAAAATATATCCATAAACAAGTCAACTACTACATTTACAATATTGTCCATAAAAATAACATTGAAATATTAAATGAAAAATATTTTTATTTTCTCCTTAACCAATAACCGTATAAAAACGCTTTTACATAGGCCTACTACATTATTTGTTTTTTCAAGGTCTTTCAAAAGGTTCGGAGAAAAATTGATAAATTTTGTGTTATAAGGGTAAAAAAAGAGAAAATCCCATTTTAGTCCCATAAAACCCCTCTTTGAACTCCGTTCCTATGGTCCGATCACGCTGGTTTGTGAAATTATCCAAATTTATCCCGCCTTACACCTTCAAACCAAATTTCATCTAACAATCTAACATTTGAACACACAGGTTTTTGGCCTCTGGGAAAAAAAATAAAAAATTTTAACGGTCCCGGACCGCCGGACCTAGGTATTACCATGAGACTTGCGATAATAGCTACTTTCAAATGTGGAAAATTTGCTAAAATGTGCTTTTGAAAATCACGTAACTGCCTTCCACCATTTGTGTCCAACTAATAGTGCAAAAGTACTTGATTCTGTCGTAAATAAATATACAAATTAACTTAATAAACAACTTTATTATTAAAAGACAATAGTTATTTGTGCAACTAGTGAGCAAAGGGAGCGATTGACTCACTCGAGAGAAATACTTACTCACGAGCCGTAGGCGAGCACGTTCAATACGAGCCGTAGGCGAGTGAGGAATGGTTTCTCGAGTGAGGCAATTGCACTTTGCACTCGAGTTGCACATTATATTTTTCTTACAGTTACCATAAAACAAATAAATTGGTAAAGAAACGTAACGTATTTTTACACAGATGTGAACTTTTAATATGACATTTAATGAAACAACAGTATAACAGCTGACCAGCTGATTTACAGCCAGTGCTGCCAACGTATTTCGCGCGCATACGACCTTGTCTGCATGTTACGCGCTCGCTATTTCGTGCCTTCACGTTGCAAATCTGAAGCGAGTGAGACAAAGTACGGTAATTAAAGTTAGACAATGTTGTTTGATGAGCGAATTGGCCACTTTGCTTGCTTTCTCAAATCAGTGAGAGAACATGTACATTGTTAGGTATCTTTAGGAAAAAAGTATTTACTTATCACACAACCAATGTACTGTAAACAATACACATTGTTGAATACCTATCAAGTACAACTAAATTTATAACTGTCCTGATTGTTTTTTTTTTTACCCGTCTGATACTTAGGTAACATACCAATTAATTAAATAAGTTACAACTTAACTTAATTGGCCAATAGTGGTATTGCTTGCTACTAGATAAGCTTTTGCTTAGGATTAAATTTTAGGATATTAGGCCTATAATATATTGTTTTATCACTATTCGTAAATAACACGTTCAATTGTTCGTATATAAATAACTTAGACTTCCAGTATAGACCTCTGTGTTCGAAGTACGGTGAAAAAGGGAAGAATATAAACGCTGTGTGTCCGTAGAGACGATAACTTGAGTTACTTTTGACTTGAGTATGATATCGATGTAATTTGGTTTAAAGGTGTAAGGCGGGATTAATTTGAATAATTTTGCGAACCAGCATGATCGGACCATAGGAACGGAGTTCAAAGAGGGATTTTATGGGACTAAAGTGGGATTTTCTCTTTTTTTTACCCTTATAAACCAAAATTTATCAATCTTTCTCCAAACCTTTTGAAAGACCTTCAAAAAACAAATAATGTAGTACACCCGTGATCTTCGTAGACATTGAAGCTGCTATATGTCTAGCACAGAATCCAGCATCACAGAAGAACCAACCACATTGAAATCAAACACGTTTTCATTCGAGAACAAGTGGCAGCAGGAAACCTTGCTGCATCGCTGCATGGATTTTGCCGCGGTCATGGATACCTATGATGGCTTTGACTTGGTTTAGGAGTGATGTCCACGATTTCATCCACTATCACGGGTGTCGATGATGATGACCTCTTGATGCATATTGGAGATATTCACGATTACTTTCGCGATCGCAAGGAATTTCCACCACAGTGGGAGGGCCGCTCAAATAATTTGGCCTAGGGCCGCAAGTACCCTAAATCCGGCACTGCATTACCAGGGTCGTTGCGTTGCTGAACGTTGGTGGAAAGTTCATTTTGTTGCACCCGTAGATTCGCCAATATTGAGCTTCGATTTCTTCTAGCGACATTGGTAATATTGATGTAGGAATGTCGTGCTTCTTGTTGTCGTTATTCGGGGTCACCAATATATAGCGATGTTTAATCTGTATGAATT